TCTTGTGGCAAACATGGATATTTGGGAGTAACTTGTCATTGGATTTCTAATGAATATCAACCACAGGAAGCTTTGTTATCATTGGTTCACATCCCATAACCACATACATCTGAAGTTATTTGTCAGAAATTACGAGAGATAATTTTTTTGTGGAGATTAAAAGAAAAGATTGTCTGTATAACTACAGACAGTGGTTCCCATTTATTAAAGCAGCCAGGCTTTTACAAAGAGTTTTTTTTTATCTCAAGCATGTTTCATGCAATGTACATACCTTGAATCTAGTAGCTAGGAAATCATTGAAAATTAATACAGCTATCCAAAAATTCATTTTAAGAGTCAAAAGGTTAACCAAATTTTTTTCATCTCCTAACAATGTGAGATATTAGAAAAAGAACAAGAAAATTTGAATTACCCAAAAATAATCAATGATGTCTGTACTAGGTGGAACTCTGCTTATTATTCATGGCAATGATTGATCCTTCTCAAAGATGCAATAACTCATTTACTTAGCAGATATTGGTCAGATCAAAATAAAGAAGTAAGGAAAGAAGCAAATAAATTGGAAAGAATTTTGTTGAGTTGAATCAGAATGGATTTTGATGAACAATCTAGTAGTTGTTTTGAAAGATTTTGAAGAAATTGCTAGAAAATTAAGTGGGACTACATACATTACCTTTTCCTTGGTTTATCCATCAATCTATACACTAATTAAAAAACTCATCTCATCTCTCAATAGATAATGAATTTGAAGATAATAGTGAACAATTGCAATTGGATAAACAAGAGGACGTATTCAATATTCAAGACATTTTAGAAGATGAAGAGGCTGATGAAATATTAATTCTTGACTCAAATACCAAAAAAAAAAATAAACATTTCTAGTCTTATAGAAACAGATAGATTGAAGGATCTTGATATAGAAGCATTGTTGATTTATTTAAAAAAATATTGGGATGCACCTTCTGATTTGTCAATGGTTGCCATGATACTTGATCCAAGGCTTAAAAAGCTATCTATTTTTGAAGAAAAAGATGTAAAAACCACTATATTTAATTTAAAGGAGGAGTATGAAATATCATCTAGAAATAATTTTAAAAATTGGTGGAAGGGCATTTTAAAAGATTCACAATAATAAATTTTTAAATAAATAAAATTATAAAATATACATTAAAATAAAGATTTTTCATTTATTATATATGTGTATTTAATTCAAATCATGGA